TAATAGAATGCAATTCACCGGGTCAGATGAATTTTCTCAGATCGAGCTCACTTAACATACCAAAGACATAGAGTTCTTTAGTGAACATTGTGTTCAGTGTGTGGGGATGTTTGTTTTAACTTAAAAAATGGGCATTTTAAAGGTGCGTACATTATAAATGTTATTTGAGAGTGCCTAAGCTACACCATAGTTGCCCACTAATGATGCAGTACTATTGCCTCCTCACAATACTCTTATGCTTCCTCTTCTCTTAGTTCCCTGGTTTATGTACGAGTATAAGCGTTTATAGTACTCTATATATTCCGCAACAAGTTCTTCGCACAACCTTTTAGACTTGCGGAGGGCTCGGGCACAAGTATTTCATTCTTTTCGAAATTGAGACTATGCCTCGTCAGCTCCTAGTAATCTTAATCTCTCCCACATTCTTCTCTTACGGAGATGAATGAGAACCATTTTGCTGAAACACCGTGGGGGATTTATTGGGTCGCTTGGTGTAGTACAAGGTATGTAAGATGCGGTGACTTTCATGTACAAATTTCGGAATACTTCTCAGCCCGCTTCAATAGGTTATTCGGATTCCATAATTCAATATGCTGAGGATGCCGAGTGTATAACGCCGTGTATATTTGCTTTCCAGACGTTAGGTCTGCGCTGAATTGTCACATGCTCGTTATGTATAACCAACTGGAATTCAAAGACTTAAACTGCATAGTCGCTTTCGCTTAGGGGTGTCATATAATAGAGATTTGTAACGTCATCTTCATAATGAGTCAATATTTGATCTAGTGAAGATGATGCAGAGTCCGGATCGTACCTAGTTACATCGTTCACATGTTGCGCTAGGGCATATGTGATAACCATGTTAACTAGTTTCTGATCGAAGGAACATTCTGACAATTCGGTCATCACATTTTCCAGTCTATTGTAGTTGCACTAAATTCCCTTATGACTAAGCACCGACCATTTGATGACCAAGTGTTTTAAACAGTCTAACAAGACCTCATCCACCTCACAGTTTAGACTGTGCTAGACCAGTTAGCAGCTCTTTTTCTCTGCATTTGAAACGGCATCTAACTACCTCTCGTGTCCTTTCCATTAGATATGTATTAATTACTTTTTCCACCCTATTTCTTCACTTGAAGTAGACAGGTAACTCACTGGACCTATCATTACTGTTAAACTAAACTCGGTCGATAAGGGACACTTTTTACCACCCTAAAAAGTCAAGAGGACCGCACAATCGGCTGCCTACTACCAGTGGTCTTGCATCTCTGGAACCTGTTACCAATCAACTGGTTAAGACAACAGAAAATAACATCAGCACCAAGTTACTGTGAGTTCCTTCTTGTTTATCCTGTATTAACATTTTACTCTTCTGTACACTATGTTGACTAGCAATTAATATTATTTCTCCACTCGTTCCCTTATCCACAACTCATACTTCTATACTTTTTCCGCCTGCTTAAATAAACAACTACCCTACAATATACCCTTCTTAACGCTTACATTCTGATTGGCAAACTATACATTATACTATAGTCAATTAAAGCACTGGATCGATGCTTTACCCGCAGTCCATAGCTTGTAACTGCCTGATAAGCCTGTAAAATGGTACTTATAGAAATAGTGCTTTCCAACAGGTTGTGAAACAGAGGATTGTGTGAGGTATGACGTATATACAAAAAATAAGCCTAAATGAGCCTAACATCACAAAAGGAGGGAGGGTGGAGTTACTGACCAGCAAGCATTGATGGTGAGGGCGATAACTTCAATCCACCCGTGTTTGTGGGGACAGAGCACTTTGTATGTACCAGGCTCTTTATAATTGAGAATAAGACAGTCAATCTGTGATATAGATTGTCTTCCTACGCTCACCACTCAGACTCATGTTTCCAATATTATACTGGATTAGCTATTCTACTAAGACAACCTATAACATGCTAACTCGGACTTTTACACTAGGATTGCGTGGCCGACATCGGATGGACAAAAAAAGAAGAGAAGGAAACAATTAGACGATGAAAGATATAATTATCAGCATTCTTAACACATCACCCTCTATATGCACTCTCCCTTCTAATAAAGCGCTTTCGCTGTGACAACATTGACTTCCCTTCCTTCATGTGAGCTTACTACAACTTGTTAAACGCCACAACTCATTGTTCTTTATTACTACATTCTCTTATATGGAGCCTCTGATTTCATTTCACTCTAACAAGAGATAATATGAATTTAATCTAATTTATTATACCTCTTTCTGTTCTACTACAAAATGTTAAGCAACGTTTGGCGTTCATATCAAAGTGCATTGCTGCTCTTCCGTTCCTCTTTTTTCTTCAGAATCTTGCTCTGAGGGCACAGCTATGGAACTTGTGATGTCTGGAACAAACTCGACGTACGCGTCTCCACAAGGTCATGGTTTGCATCAAGCGCTCTACGATTCTACTTTATAGTAACTATAAACTTAATAAGTTAAGAAGCATACTGTGTGCCAGCAAATGTTATTTGTATATCATGCCTGTAAAAATGGCATGTACCTGCTCATGCAAAAATATATTATTATTATTATTAAGTATTTGCCTTATAAGTACTCATTTCGTCACGGAAACTTGTAGTACTGAATCGGTTTGGGAGTTTCGTTAGAATGTTACGTCGTATATATAAGTTTATTCGCTGCAATATATTCGGATGGATACTTGTAGCGGCATTGTTTCCTAACCACATGGTCTTGGAAGCCAGGCATATGATGACTGGAAAGATATATATTCGTCATGTAACTGTAGTGACCTACATTTATCAAGAGAACGCGATTGGTGTGATGAAAATAATAATTATTACAACCAGTTGTATCAGGAATTGTTTTACCGTACTTGTTTGATTCACTGTACCAAAACATATACATTCTTCCGTTGCTTGCGACCTTGCACGAATTCGGTTACGCTCAGTAACCACACTTGGAAAAGGTCATGAATGTGGAGACATTCATTCAATCGGATATCATGGCTCAGCCTTGAAGACTCGCTCAATATGTGTAACTTATTACTATACACGTTAAATATATTATCCTATCCTCAGCACAAATGTGCTCTCTAGAAGTTTTATGTATCATTGTTAATTATCACGATACGATGAGTCAGTGTAGACAGTGATGCGACTTCTACGTAAGATCTTACAGATTAGGCAATCACATGGTAAATTTACCTTTTTGGGATAAGGCCTATTATCAAAGTAGTATCAGTACCAAACTAGACTATAATTATACATATTAACAGGATTTTTAATGCAAAAGACTGTGTATAGTTGTTGTATCATTATTTAAATAATTCATTAGATGAATGAACGTTGCAGTTGGCAATATAAAAGACAGTTATCGTCAACTTGTAAATTGTTTCTCCTGTAGCGGTAGATAAATCCTCAAAATCATTAGCTCTGTATGTCATCGACATTGGATGTTGACCATATTAGTTTTAATGGGCTGACGTAGCTGAAGGCGCACGGTTATGCACTTGCCCCAGATCACGAGTGGGAACGCTGTGCCTCTGCAATCGCCAGCCAGCCTAGATCAGTCGATCCTCGATATATTGATAACCTATCAAATATATATTCGAACCTCCTTGCTTCTGTCTTTTGATTTCACTTGGTGGGTACGATTCATGTTAGGTGTTACTGGTTAAAGTGTTGGAAAACTCCAAATACCTGTGGTATCTTCACTCCACATAATGTTCCATATTCAGAAGTTCGCTAAGTTGTGTCATGGGCATAGGCATGACTATTAGAAAGGTTTGAGCCTTTTAATTAGTTGACAGAAGTCGTAAGTTGCATGTCAGAAGACGTATGAGAACGTCTTCAGCCTCATGCAATTCTGAAAAAAGAATCAATCGTGAGACAAATGATTACACTTTGCTATCTGTATCAAATTCAATAAGTAAATGGTATAGCAGCTAACAGAATGTACCTATAAGTGTATTACGTTTAAATACTGATGTTTATTTCCTAAACCTCCTAGGATTTCACTTAGTCATTTGGTACTAACAAAGAAACTGCAGGCACCAAATAAACGGATTCAAAAACTTCAATTGGTAATATGAAATCTGAGAAAAATCCAATTACAATGTTCATAATAGTATTAGCGATTCACTGGTTACATACAACAAGGACATCACTGGTGAGCAATATTTACATAGTACTAACCAATATTCATTAGGAATTTGTTTGTAATTTACCAGTGATTGCGGATTCTGTTTACGGAAGTTCATACCTATAACAGGCAATTCATAAATTAGTATTAACTATGACATGATTTAGTTACCATGCTCAAAACAAGCTGGCATCGCTCGACTGAGTAATGTGGCACTTACAGTAATGTTATACACAGTTCCTGTATATGTTCATAAAGCGGGCAGAAAAGGCTATCAACGTTAATTGTTACTCAGATGATTTTTCTCAGATAAGTTACATAATAACGTGTCAGTTCAGTCGAAAATGAGGATAATTATAATGGATAAAACTGTTTATGGTTGTATATTAGCAAGTTATACAATATTCATAAATAGTTTAATGCCAAATTGCTTCAACCTGTTTTAGAAACAACTACCAACACCCATGTTCATCACCATAATAACTAGGCAAGTGAATCCGCTGTAAAGTGTCTTAAAGCTCATTTTTTGTATAAAACTCTGATTGCTGTCTATTTTTGACTTGTTAAATGGTGAATTTCACTTGCCCGAGTTCGCATTGTTACAAATAACCACACTAGACTGACTAAACATTACTAGGTTGTGAGCAAAAACTACGTCAAACTATCAATAACCTGGAATAAAAGCTATGTGACAGGCACAACCATCATGAAAATTGACGTGAGACGGAAAAATACTGTGAATAGCTGGTGAATAACGACATCCAAAATCTTCCATAAAGTGTAACATGTGTGCGTGAACCAGTAACAGCTTCATATGTCGACACTTTAAAAAGAAAGTTGGGTCAACTGAGAGAGTATCAGTTTCTATAATAACATAGACAATCTAGCCCCCTGTTCTTTCAAATCTGAAACTGATGCAGAAAATATTCGTGCAAAATGACCTTGTTACCATAGTAACAAATGGACGAGGAGATTTAGATGTTTAGATTTGTGACGTTCTGAAACTCCTCTTATCAACCTCTGATACTGATTATCAGATATCTCTAATATCACAAATTTTTTGCTTGTCATCATTATCGATAATGTTCATTTCTTAGTGTAAGTGTACTAATATTAGTAGGAGGTAAATATTTTACTTGTTGAGTTGTCCCAAACTCCCAACATTGGGATAAAATAGATCAGTTTTGGATAAATTACAGGGCAGTGCCTCCAAAAACTTTGTATTAATTTTAGCTAACTGCAGCAATCGAATGTTGGGAACTGCATTGACTATGACCCTATGATGCATATGCATCATATGATTATAGCAGTGTGCCTAGGATATTCACCAACAGCCGGACAGCTTACTCAGTATATTTATTCAAACATTTGTATCGTCGATGACTCACAGTATTCATTTTTGATACTGTTATACATACTTAGTAGCCTTTGAATACTTAATAAGTAATACATGAGTCGCGTGAAATTCGTACGTTCTAGCAAAGTCATACTCTGTCTTAAAAATAATATGTTTTAATATAAAATTGTAAATCTCTGCTATAACTTGTGGCCGCCGATGAGAGAGCAGTGAGTTATCGATCGGATCAATGACGCGCGAACCCGTATGAGCAGCCTAGAGTTCTGATTGGCCCTGCTTTTCACCTAGCCCAGCCAGTTGAGTCCAGAACACCAATTCGAGCCTCTGTAATATGAATCATTATATTTCAAACATACTGAGTTTATATACCAATCAAACAGACCACAACGTAGCAATAAAATATGAAAAGACACTTGTACAAGAATTAGCCAGATGTGGCTGTGAATGAGGGAGGTAGTAATTAATATACTGGGTATAACTCAAGAATGGTAAAACGTATAATAATAGTTTAAGGGTCAAAATAGAGCTTATAATAAGAGGAATATGAATATGTATGGTTTAGTTACTTAATAATTATACAATAGAAATATAGGTTTAGTATTGGTCCATTAATGGATTCCAAAAGTTACCATTCATTATTCTTGTCGGAACATAACAGTTCCATGCATAATAACCCTTTAAAAAGGCAATAAATTTCAAAAATCCTATGAAAAAGATTTTGAGATGGCAAGAATGGCACAAAAACATTTTTAAAGTGCATTTACACGTATGCAAGTAAGTAAGTACTTACGTCATACATGTCATCTAAGTAAAAAAATCATGGCATTTCAAGGATCACATGTACGCCGTATAGTTATTTATAGAGCTTCGAAAACTTCAAGTCCGTGGCCGTAATTCGTTGGGATTCAAGGTGTATACTGTTGAAGATACCTGAAATTGTTGCCTGTCTTATCATGCTACAAATAATGAAACAGAAAATTATTTGTAAATTAGTCGATCCCTTTGATAAGTTCCAAAGTGTGGGCTGTGATTTAATGAAGATTTATGAAGCCTGCACCTCATAGCAAGATTGTCGTCGTATGGGGTTAATTGTTATCATGCAAGGTAACGGCTTACAGTTGTAACAATCTTCTAAAAACGTTTTAATTTTCCACTGTTTTTTACTTGTGTTTTCCCATTGTTGAGTGCTTTAGGTTTCGTTTAATTACTCATAATGATAGTTATGCCTGATTAATAGCAATTTTCATGTTTTCGTTCGTTTTATAACTTTTTAGATTGATAGGTTGGTTGAATTGATTGGTTCTTTCAGATATACAAAAACCATTTTTCTCCCACTCACACTTGAAGGATAATTGCAAACAAAATAACAAATCGACGCTATACGAAAATGAGTATCACCTTATTAGGTTTTAAAACTATGTTAACGGAGGAGTTAGGTAACAGTTTAGAAGAAGATTTAAGACAAATGGTGGTTAGATAGCTTACTGTTTTAAATGAACGAGTGAAATAACTTTGTAGATTTCGATAACTACACAAGAACTTGAAAAAATAAAACAAGAACTCATTTGTTCATTTAAAGACTCAGTATGCCCATATTCACCTTTTTTAATTTACTAAGAAGTCATTCTCTTTGGATGGGACACAATGGTCCAAAATAATCAAAACTTTTGCGAAGATTGTAAAAGAACTATCTTTAGGACCCGGAGCGGAAACAAATATGTCGGCATTTTCATCCCAACAGGAAAGCATTCCAAAGGGTATTTACTAAATTTACTAAATTTTTGGAAGCTTTTAGGGAAATAGTGTACATGTACAATAAAACGGTATGCCCTGATAATCAAGGATACAGGTAATGTGGACCACTTCAAACGAAAATTGCTAACTCTAATATACATTCCAGTGATATAAACAATGGACTATCTTTAGAAGGTATTCCAATTTCAGATTTGTAAACGTATATATCAATCATGAATTATTGCAGAAAGTCAGAGAAGCCCTTCCCAGTTTGAAACAAACTACCCCACTGATTTGTCCACAAATGTTTGCACTGACTCCGAATGTGAATATTCTAAAGTGAGTTTTATTTTTGTACGAATATAATAGTTCTTCTCATCGTATAGGAAGTGGGCTCATAAATAATTAGCGATAGTTTGTTTTGTATGTAGAGAAAACTAAATTTTTAAAAGGACCAATGTATACATGAATAACTATCAAAGGAAGGAACGGCACATATTAGTAAATAGAGTAATAATTTCATTACGTATCATTTACATCAATAAATATTAATGGGACACAGAACCGAATAGACAGATACGAAGACACTAAAAATGGAATGAGATTTGTGATTGTTGATGGTGAGCCAACGCACTCAAATGAAAAAGATTAAAAAAACACAATTACGTACATAAAATAGTTCACTGTTACAGTATAACCACGTAAGTTCAACAGATGATTCAATCATCAAAATGCTAATATACGAAGACATTAAATATCTTGAAACAAGAAAGTAAGTTAGCAAAAATAAATGACTAAGACTAAAGGCTATACAATGATCGTAAATTTATTTCTTTTGTACTAATCCTTTTGATTATAAATATAATTTTTTTTACATCCCAATGAGTAGGAAATTGTATTTTTGACGTTCACTGGCTTAATGTAAGCCACTTCTGAGTAAATAAATAACCGACATTGAATTAAAACAAGTTTAAATAGTACAAAGGAAACCATGAAGATTATTTTTAGTACAATCAAAATCATAATAGATCTGAATATGCCAATTTCCAGTTATTATTGGTTCAGATGAATTTGTATGACTTGTCACTGTATTGAATTTCGTGTCAGAAGGTGAGAATGAAGCAGTGAGATCCCCCGTGAGATCTTGACTCGCGCCAAGGAACACGTAGGTTACACAAAAAGGCCTCCTAATAATCCTTTATTACTGTAAAGTTTACAATTTAAATCAAAAATAGCAGTCCGGGCTATTTTCAGCAATCACCAAATTGATATTAAAAATATCAAAACAATTGAGAAAGGTTTCTCCAACTATAGAGACAGGCGAGTAGCCGAAGTGTTCCACATAATGCTAAATCCCTCTGCCCTCAATAAGAAAGAAGGCCTGAATATTTATTTAACCTAGAGTGTTTATCCAAACAACCATATTTGACCTTATTTATGTTCCACACAATCTACACACACACACAATTTCAGCCCTACTACTTTGTTTTTGGTGGAGTTTTGTTCTCTGAGCTGGATGGTTTGGTCCATCCAGCTCAGAGAACAAAACTCCACCAAAATCATCCACCTGAGCTACAAATCTTCTCCACCATTTACTACTTTGTTACAGCACATCAAAACAGTGCAATGAAATCTCAAATAAGTCATAGTGATTAAGGGGAGCCCTCTTAGTTATTGAAAAGAATGAAGTTTTCAATAGAGTAACATTACTAATTTTTGTTCAATTTATCCACTTGTAAGCCAATCGCCTTCGCGAAAAATAATTGTATCTGATTTATTTATTCTACTGGTTGTAATTGTCTTTATTGAGGATATTACAAGTTGCTTGTAAAGTAATCATTATTGGTACTGATGAATATAGGTATTGTAGTAGTTGTACAGTTGAGATATGTAACATGCTAATTCAAAGATTAAACTCTTCACTCTAATAGATTGATTACATGTGACTTGGCAAAGAAAAATGAGATATATTTAAGTTTTGATCAATACTGATCAAGAGAACCTGTAGTATTTTGTAAAAATATGAAATTTAAGGATTTCGTTTAGTCAATACTTTGATTTTTATTTTATTTTAAGAAATAGTAAATAAGACTTAATTCAATGTTGAAAGTGCATTAATATTCGATATGAATGAAAAAGACTTTTACTTCTAATACTATTTATTAAATAAGTCAGTCTCAAATCATGTATTTTCATTACTTACAATGTGTGGGCGGCGATCAGAATTTTCATACTGATTAAAGTCTGGTATAGCACTTAAAATCTAATCATCTCGATACGACTCTGTAGGACTGACTGCTAGGGGAAAGAAGTGTTTTTTTTTAAAAACACCAAGTACTTTGTTCTCTAAATGATAGTTAATGTAATAGTTTGGTTATGTTGTTTGACGGACTATTGTTTACTATTTATATGTCTTTTAACGTATATTTTTGCTAGAAATAGTGTTGTGATTGCTTTATTGTCTTAATCCGTAAAGCTAGTAGATCGGTTGTGTAGTATTAGTCTTGTAGTAGGTGTTTCTGTGAAGACACAGTTTTAAAACTGTTCGTCAATTGGACTGATTCTGTTTGTTTGAACAAGGCATTCCAGTCGTTGACCGTCCTACAGGAGACGCAATCGAAATTTATTCAACCGTAGATTTTAGAATTCTTTGTGTTAGCCTTTAAGACATTTAATTTTTTTTAAAAAGCTTAAAAGATGAAATCTCTGTGAAACCTAAGTCACTAACATCATTGTTAGTCGAATACCACTGACTCCAATTGTTTCAGCTTAATCTAAAAAAAGAGTTACAAATGAATTACGTCTTGGATTTTTACTTTGCTAACAAATTCGATTTCGGAAAGTCAGTGATTCACTTATCAAAAACTAGTAAATAATATTTTACATTTCAGGTCGGTGTATTACGTAACCTATCTGATGAAATACTTCTAAATCAACTACAAGCTAAACCTATTCTTAGTATATCTCAGCAACCAAGTTTCTTAATGAAGTCATTTGAAAATACGGTAAACAAATAATTATAAATTTTATAGTTATATTGAACGATAAGTTATTTGTTTAGAGGACAACACCTTCTAGACTTAATTAATTTTATGATACAATTTTTAAATAAGTCTAGTAAGTATTTATCCACGATCATTTGTTATATCACAAGGGGCAGCCGATTAGGTGGGCAGTGACTTATCGATCAGATCAAGGGATTAAGAATCTCGATAGACTATTCTGGCCCGTTGTCCCCGACTCAGCTAACGCGATCAGAAGTCTTTGTAAGGCGTAGGAAGTGTATTCTACAGGCAAACAGCAGATACCAGGTCAGGTCAAGCACAGAAGTCAAGCGTATTTATACAAATATTTATAATCGATATTGTCACAGTAAAATGTTTTTAAACATTAATCAATAAGTTTATCAATCGACAGCTATTCAAATATTTAATCGATAATTTCGTCAATTGACTGCTATTTAAACATTTAATCGATAAGTTAATCGATAAGATGAAGTTACAAACTATGAGTTTTGGGGATCTATTGTCCCCAACATCATTAATGAACCGGAATAGATGATTTCCATGGCATATCGATTCAAAATGTCTCTGAGAAGAAAATAAACACTGACTTCACAATTTCTTTTTTTATTAAAAAAAGAAATCTAGTTAGCCAGTCACTTTTAATATAACAGTCTATTTAATAATAAAGATACTTGAATGTTTTATCTCATGTTTCAACTAATGCATGGAAATTGTCTTAACTATGCACAAATATGAATAATGACTGACATAACAAATATCTTTTCGACAAACGTAAAACCACAATTTACATGTTACATCCTTAAATTCTATATGTCAAGGCAAAGTAAAGTGAAATAATTTACCATTGACTAATTTTTATGGGTAAACAGAAACTAAAGTGTGAAGATAGATTAGTACCATTTTCCTTCAATTTGTCATTTCATTCAGTTAAATATGTAGGATAATAACTTGTAACCAAATATGGTTTTACGAATGGGAAGTGAATTACTGTTCTGTAAAATAATTTGTTACTTGAATGATTAAAATATATTTTACATCAGATAATGACTGATGTTCTCAAATAAGGATCACTAGATTTGGGCATGAAAAGCTAAGTGGAGTCTTTTTCATCATTAGAACTGAGAGTAGAAGTTTCAGTCGCATATAGAGTTGTAGGTCTAAACTTCTACTTATTACCATGCAACGGTGAAATAGTTTTACGGTTCTCCTCAAATTTCAGAACTCCTCCTGATTAGGACCATTTGTAACAGAAACCGTTTACCCTCTCTTCAAATATTTTACATATGATTTAGTAAAATTTAACAGAATGTTATATCTTAACAATCAAAAACTGACGATTTCTTCCAGGTTATACTAACACCTGATGTAAGGCCTACTGACAGACGTTGTGTCTCCGAAAATTTACTACAAACAATGGGTCCATTATGGAATGAATATGCAAAAGAAGTAAGTCACTCCTTATATATTCAGTGGCTGACTGACTGACTATGTATATTAGTGGACTACAAGTGAACATTTACATGAATAAATGTTTGGCCCAGTCATTGTCACTTGTAATAAATCAACTCAACAATAAGTGATTAGGTAGTTACCAGAGTCAAGTATTCAATTGTATTGATCAAGTTTACATTTGGTTGTAATTTCATATTTAACATAAAAAGTATCGAAATAATTTACACATTGTCTCGAAAGCAATAATTTCACCTTATCTTTGTGAGGTTCTACTTTTGAAAATATATTCGACTTTACTTGACAAGACGAATGGCAAAGTACCTACAATCACTAAGACACTTTAGTTTTTTTAAGATCAGTGATAAATGAAAGAAATGTGAATAAGACCATTTCTGTGAACATAAACAGTTGATAGTAACAATATTTAAGCTATTTGTGTTAAGATAAATTTAATGGAGGTATTTTGCGACAGATTTCGATCCAGTGGTTGAAGTAGTCTATACAGTATTATTAAACTTAACATAATAGTTGCCCCCACGATAATGTATATATAAATATATAAAGCAGAATTGGTATGAACTAATGTTACTATATAGAATGAAGTGGTCGTGATTGTTGACCACTTCATTCATCTTGGAAGTTATCTAAACACTCCCGTATTTGTAGTTGATGAAATTTTGAAAGAAGTGCAAAAGATTTGTTTCATTGTTGTCAACTTGTTCCATTTTTGAAACAAGTAAAATATTCATCGTCCTATCGATTGGAAAATATACTGAACAGTAGTTCGTTCTGCATTGATCTGTTGTTGGGAAACATAACTTATTAAAGTAATTTGGAAATATTCGACCACGATTATTTTTGATGTATTTTTAGTTTATTCTGTTGTTCTGTTGATGTTCAGCTTTAACAGACACTGGTCATTGAATGACATGCTGTTAGTTATCTTTGATTTATTACTCGGTGAATGCCTTAATATGATAAATAACTATGTTTTTTTGTTTTGGAAAAACATTGTTTGGCAATAAATATATAATAATATATTGAGGTTGATGAAGAAACTGACATTCAGTTGGATAGAAATTTGCCTATTCTTGATGAAAATGATGAAATCTTTACTAATCTTATCAATACAATCGCAAAAGATTTCAATGAGATGAAATTTACCAGTGTAAGTTACAACATATATGATACTCCACATTTGTGTAATTTTAATTCGTACTTTCATTACATCTGTAATAACTTTGAAAAGAATAATAATTCTCGAGTTTGTTGGATTAAGACATGCCACCAAAGTATGGATCTATAAGCATTACTTCAGGTCACGTAAATATAATATTATTTTACTGCCTTATGTTTTTAATAAAAGATAACAGAGAAGGTGAATGAATCCAAGTGATATGTAAAAAGGAGAAACCATGTTAGTGCAAATATAATCAGTTCTTATCGGAGTTGTTGAATATTCAAAATAATAAATGATTTGTGATTATTTGAATAATCTGAAGGTAATTTCCGTCATTGACTGAAATTAAGTCGGAAATTCGTGATATTCAGATGAAATCAAATACTTACAGATCCAACAAAACAAAATTCAAGATTATCCACAGAGACGGTGATTTAGCTATGAAATTAGACAAAATACAATATAAACCTTAAATAGGGAGATCTCTGAAGTATTGACTGACTTCTTACACAATCAAAGAACAATACTTTCCAAAATATATATACAGAGTTATTTATATCGACATGCGATATATGGCAGCTAATATCTGTGTCGGAATCTTAGTAGCAGACAATTTTAAGATGAAGATGAAAATTACAAAAGTATGAAAACTGTCACAATATAGCCGACTTTCGACAGATATACTAGTGTTGAAAATATATATAACAGGTATCAAAAAGATGTGATTACAACCATAAATAAAGTGAATATTGTCAGCTGATGTTAATAATCAAGAATATCAGAAGACAACAGAAAACTCACATTGGACGCTCAAAAGTTATTAGAGATGGAAAGGGTTCCTGAAAATAATAAATAGAATAGAGGAACATGCAAAACGAAGTCGGACATAAAGAAGGTAAAGATATAGAATGAAAAAGAACTTAACACCGATAACGTCGAATGATATTTACTACGTACAGTCCACCGATTGAATTTGCAAAGAGTGAACTATGGGAATCCATATTACATGTAAAACAATAAAATTCCCAGAGCTAAATTTGAAGGTTTCAGATAGTATATTATCTGTTTACACGTCAAAGAGCTCATTATTTACTTACTTACGCTTGTTACTCCTAATGGAGCATAGGCCGCTGACCAGCATTCTTCAACCCACTCTGTCCTGGGCCTTCTTTTCTAGTTCCATCCAATTCTTGTTCATTTTTCTCCTGTCTATCTCCATTTCCCGGCGTAGTGTGTTCTTTCATCTTCCTCTTTTCCTTTGGCCTTGTGGATTCCATGTGAGAGCTTGTCTTGTGACGCAGTTGTGTGCTTTCCACAATGTGTGTCCTATCCACTCCCAGCGCTTCTTCCTGATTTCTTCCTCCGCTGGGATCTGGTTTGTTCTCTCCCACAGTAGGTTGTTGCAAATAGTGTCCGGCCAACGGATCTGAAGTATCTTGCGTAGACAACTGTTAATAAACACCTGTATCTTCTGGATGATGGCTTTTGTAGTTCTCCAGGTTTCCGCCTCATGCAGTAGAACTGTCTTGACATTTGTATTGAAAATCCTGACCTTGGCGTTGGTTGACAGTTGCTTTGAGTCACAGATGTTTCCAAGTTGTAAATATACTGCTCTTGCTTTACCGATTCGCGCTTTCACATCTGCATCAGATCCACCGTGTTAATCGATGATGCTGCCCGAATATGTAAAGGTTTTTACATCTTCCAAATCTTCTCCCTCAATTGTGACTGTATTGGTGCATGCTATGTTGTATCGGAGAACCTTGCTTTTCCCTTTGTGTATATTGAGACCTACTGCTGCTGAGGCTGCTGCTACACTAGTCGTCTTCTCCTGCATTTGTTGTTGCGTTTGGGAAAGAAGGGCCAGATCATCTGCGAAGTCTAGATCGTCCAACTGCATCCTAGATGTCCATTGTATCCCGTGCTTCCCTTCATATGTTGACGTCCTCATGATCCAGTCGATTACCAGGATAAAGAGAAAGGGTGAGAGTAAGCAACCTTGCCTAACATCGGTCTTCACTTCGAACGACTTTGTCAATTGTCCTCCATGCACGATTTTGCAGTTTAATCCATCATAGGAATTCCGTATGATATTGACTATCTTCTGAGGCACGCCGTAGTGTCGAAGAAGTTTCCATAGTGTTGTTCTGTCCACGCTATCAAATGCCTTTTCGTAGTCAACGAAGTTGATGTAGAGCGATGAATTCCATTCAACTGATTGTACCACAATGATTCATAAAGTTGCGATTCGGTCTTTACACGATCTATAGAGTGCTCATTTCTGATGAGTTATAAGTAGGTAGAAACAACTATCAACTTTCTCCTTGCTTTCGATAAATCAACGAATGATTTCAATCAGAAATAAGAATATCTTCTTAAACATCTTTAATTACTATTAAGCAAAGATGATTAATGGCTATCAGTGGAATCGAGGATAAAGCGCGTTTCGTCCTGTTTGGGACTCGTCAGCTGGGTGTACCTGCATCCCAGAGTTGATGTTCATTCCGAGACTCAAACCCAGCACCGTTTGCTCCAAACGCCATCGCGTTATCCACTTAGCTACTGAGACTGATCAATTGCAGTCTTAAATAACAATGTGAAGATACAAGTAAAACGACACCAAATGAATCTTTAATTACTGTTTAAGAGATATTATAGTATTAATGAGGAAGAAAAAACTAACAAAATCAACATTTTTTAGGCAATGAAGTGATTGTTTTCCGTATGATCTTTCTACATAGGATTTTCATACTTTTATATCTTATCTATAGCTTAAGTAAATTCACTTTTAGTGAATATATATCACTCAAAATTCAAAACTTTTGCTTAACTTTATAAAATCACTAATTATTTTGAATTCTTTATCATAGATTACACAATGATAACCTGTTATTTTCTTCTTACAAGTTATAAGTTTAATCCTTATCCAGTTCAAACATTTTATAACGATTTTTTATTTGGATTATCAATGTTTAATGTAAAACTAGTATTTACATTATATCATGTAAACAACCTTTCGATATCTAATTGTATAAATAGTAATATATTGTTTGATGGATTTACTGATCATAAACCTTCCAAACAAACATCTTTAAAAGTTCTACAGTCAATGATTTTTCAGCTCATGATATACCATTGTCTAAAAAGAATCCAATGTTGTTACATACAAGTACATAGAGCTAAGATATTTTGACTTATTCTCAATCAATTTTGATAATGCTCTTTTTTTGTTTCTTTCTTAATCATATAAATATCATTATATACAAATTAAGGATAATGAAAATTTTAAATTCTTTGAAATACCAGTTCCTGATGAGATAGACATGAAACCAACTTATGAAACAGCTTGTCAATTATTCAATAATAATTCTAAATCTGTACTTACGAACCTCAGTCAATCATTTTTAATGGATAAATCAAAATGGATTTTACCGTAAGTGATAATAAACTTTGATTAGTTAATTTAATCTGAAGCCAAAAGCATTCAATTGCCAGAACTATTTTTAGTACAAAACTTCATTCATATTTATGTTTAAAATGTAAAGATTTTTTAGGACTTACTACATTGCAGTAACAATGTAAGCTCTATCTCATTGAGCGGGGAGTTTTTTTCGTAATTAACTGATCAAATAATTGATGGAAGCGATCAATAGTTCTGTATAAATCAACCCAATTAAGACATCATAAGAAGAAGATAATAACTTTTTTATATAACACAATAAACATTTCAAACAAAACTACTCACAGTAACGTTTTTCTTTGTTTTACCTAACAGAATTTTGAAGTTGCACACTGATGAAGATGAAACTATGTTTCGAAGAACAAAAACACTGGTAATTTACAAAACGTTTTGAATGAATATTCTAAATATTTCGTTTTAATAATAAGGGACGTTTATCACAATGAATAGAATTATTACATCAATTCTTTTAAGCATATAACTTAGTTATGGTATAGTTATTATCATGCAACCAAAGTGATTAATATTAGTACTACTGTATACTGTTAGAATTGTAGCTCAATAGTTGAAGTATAAATTATTTCTTAGCTCTAATCATTTTGTGTTAATGATTACTGTGATAACCAAACAGTCGACTCTGTATTGTACAAGAGTGGTTGATAATGAATAGTTTTTAGTCATCTTCAGGAAAGCGATATCCAAATCCCAACTTAACAAATTTTCAAAACCGAAACCAATACTAAAGTCATCGCATAAATTATTAAGACATTCAAGCGCCTAATTTACGTAAATAATATTCAACCGAGATAATATAGTTGATTCAATCTTTACATAAAACAATGGTTAATCAGAAATACAAACTAATAAATCGATGGTTACTGATATTTCTCCTGCCAAATCAACAGAACTAGCAAATAACACTCACTGATTAATCTTTATGTAACTAAAAAAGTAACTAGAAAGTAGGTTTTCACCATGTTTGTTGTTTATATGTTACATTAGTTAAGTTTTAAAGGCATCTATCATATGAAGTTTACCATAAGTCAGTTTATTAACTATTTTCCATTTGCTGAAATTACCACTCGTCTTATTATTATTATGATGCATTCACTTTAGCCAAGTAGTAAACTGGATGAATTATTTATTCATGAAGTAAATAAATACAAAAAACGAAGTGAAAAAGTTGAAAATATATCAGTTGACAATTTTAATGAAAAATATGAGAAAACTTTAGCAGAATTAAAAAATGAAGAACAAAAATTCAATAAGTGAGTACTTCAGAAAAAAACCACTAGTCAGTCATTTTTTTTCTATTCTAAGACAAACTCAGAGTTGATTTATTTAGTATTGTAATAAGATGTATGTCCCTAACTTGGAAGCCTGAAGGAAAGCGGAAAAGTGGAAGGCCAAAGAACACATCAGTAGGCCTCAACATACACAAGGGGAGAACCAAGGTCCTCAAATTCATAACGGAGAACAGCAATCCAATCACTCTTGATGGCGAAACTCTAGAAGATGTAGAATCCTTCACATATCTGGGAAGCATCATCGATGAACAAGGAGGTTCAGATGCAGACGTAAAGGCGAGGATTGGCAAAGCAAGGGTCACATTCCTACAATGGAAGAACATATGGAACTCAAAACAACTTTCAACCAATATCAACGTGAGAATCTTCAATGCAAACGTCAAGGCAGTTCTACTGTACGTAGCTAAAACTTGGAGAACTACAACAACAACCATCGAGAAGGTACAAGTATTTATAAATGGTTGTCTACGCAATATACTCAACATCCATTGACCGGATACCATCAGCAACAGCCTTCTCTGGGAGAGACCAAACCAGCTTCCAGCTGAAGAGGAAATTAGGAAAAGACGATGGAAATTGATAGGACATACATTACGCAAATCATCAAACTACATCACGAGGCAAGCCCTAACTTGGAATCCTGAAGGGAATCGGAAAAGAGGAAGGCCAAAGAACATATTACGTCGGAAAATAGAATCAGATATGAAAAGGATGAACAACAACTGGAAGGATCTGGAAAAGATTGCCCAGGACAGGGTTGGATGGAGAATGCTGGTGAGCGGCCTATGCTCCTTCACGAAGAGTAACAGGCGTAAGTAAGTAAGTAAGTAATAAGATGTATAAATCCACACTATGGATAGTTTATTGAATGTAATCAATAGTGTGTAGTGTCGGTTGCTATGCTAAGCCCACACAGCTTATTTTAGCTTTCGGATACACTAGTTTATTTATTCGTCTGGAGTCGCATTTCGGCCTTGTCAATTATTCGCTTATCAACCTTGACTTTTGATACGAGCGTATGTGTGTGCACTTCTTATCCTATTCGTCACATGTTTGTAATTTATTTTAGCTCGACTATAAATATCGATTAACATTTGATTAAATTGAATTGGCTAACATGCCTTCTCTATCGCGCATCGTTTTGCCTCGCTCTCTTAGTTTCCTACCTTCGCTCGTTTGTCTGGATCAACAACTGTACGAAATATACTCATTCAACAATCCATCCTCGTATTTGACTTGTTTAATTCCGTTATCCACTAACGCGATAATTATATGCAAGGATTGGTGACATGTATATTTCGATAATCATCATACATACGATCTAAGTGGAGTCAGATATTAGACTACTAAAAGTGTACAAAACAGAGAAAGAAATTTACTTTTATCTAGCAGATGTTTGATTACAATACACTATGTGAATACTAATGAATAAAATTTGATTACTTAAATTTGTCGAGTTAGAGTTTGAAAATGTCCCATTTTGATTGTAAGTTCAATTATTAAAACATCAAGCTAAACATTCATAGAACAATTTGTACAGAATACTGCAGTTCTATTTAGTAATTATTGACATTTATTAATTCATCATATTCAAGACGTGCAAAAACCCTAATGACACACCAAAAATCCAAATGCCTCTTACTTAGCATTTTAGAAAAGAGATTTTTTCAGTCGACTATTTTAATTTTGCATTATTCTTCTGTTTTAGTAAATCAAGTATACTTGATCATTCACTTGGACACTGCGGTCACGCTTTCAGTTTACTAAGACCACCTCTAATCCAATTTCCTTTTCAGGTACCTCTTAAAGAACCCTTCCACGGTGTGGGAAACCGGGAGGTGATAACCGCCCTCATACCTCTAACAACACTCAAGACTACTGTATTCATAATCACCTTCTTTCTTCAGTTCTTATTTATTAAATAGTATAATTCCATTTGAACTGCAAAGCTTCTCCATCTGTTATTTACATCTAAACGTTTTTGTTCGTTACATCATTTCACTTAATAATAAATAACTACAATTAAGAAGCAAATAATAGACTGTACAGTAATTTCAGTTAAGACAAATATCAACAGTTCATACACAAAGTATTGTCTACAGTCAAACCAAAAAAAATAATTTTAAGGTGAATATTTATACTACAACTGGCCTGTTTGTCTATTCTCATCAACCAATTACAGACGTGAATAGTAAATTACCATACATAGGATTGTATTATGTATACAAGTATATATTCATCATATAAACCATGCCATATACTTGGTGTTTCTTTAATTTTAATTTGACAACAATATATCAACCAAATATTAATTTATCATGCCGATAAAAAAACTAATCAAATGGCATCGTTTACAACGTGTACAGTTTTAAGCTAAAAAAAATATTGATATCATCTTTCTTTAAAATATAAAATGGATCACTCTTGTAGATTCTGAAAAATTTAACCATATAAACACGGATTATTTAACTACTCATATGAGTAACTGTAGTTCATATTTTCTTAACGTAGTTCATTCAGAATAAAGTTAAATGACTAGATTACAGATATAATAATTTATACCATTGAAGATTGTATGAATTTTATTTGGTTATTTCTTCATTTATTTATTTACTCTGAAGAAATGGTTTACATTAAGTCAGAGAATATCAAAAATTTTCATTTCTACAAATTGTGATATCAGACTTGTTTATTTTTGATTGGTCGCATATAATTTTGATTTGGTTATTCATTCTCTGAAGAAGTGGTTTACACTGAGTCATGAAACGTCAGAAAATCTAATTTTTTTTTTACTCATATATTACAAATATATTAATTTTTTGGAAATATGTAATTGTTTTATTAATAATATTCGAGCCAATACCCAGTTGATTTGAACTTATCAAGTCAAGCTTTGGTATTAATACCTATAATATCTTAGAGATTATATTAATACTAATTGATCATAGTAGTAATGTTTGATGTATTCTGTTTATTGATATTTGTATACTTCAATACATGGCATAATGTTGTAATATGGTGTTTGATGTACAACAGTTCAAATAATGTGGCTTGAATTGTGTGCTTTCTAATACATATATGACAGAAACAGTTCATCTGTAGCTTGGTGTTTTGTTTAGTTTCTTGTTGGTTGTCTATAATTGATTAACAATTCATTCAAACAAATATTTGTCAACTACTTCTAACCATAGGTAATTAAATTTTTCATTCCTCAATTTTAGCCATAAACAATGTATTTTTTCTTAAAAAAATTGTTATTTCTTTAAGTTGTATTGTATGTATGTTCTTCAGATTAAAACAAAAGTTAATAATATGTCAGTACAAGTCCAATGAAGTGCCGTTGTGGAATACAGGCAATGATATGATAGTTAATAATGACAGTAGTAAGTGAACAAATACGTTGTAACTTTACATAAGTAATTTTCAATATTTATTATTCAGGTAATCTGTGTTTTGAAGATAAAAATATGTTGCTGAATGTTAAGTTAGTAAAAAAAACTTTGTACTTTTTATTTCATGTACTATTTAGTAATAATCATTATAACGTTAACCAATCACCGCATAATCTTGTAAATTATAATTGATTCTTATCATTTTCATTTCAAACAACAATATCTGTCTTTTTAACTTTTGTTTTCCCCAAATCAAACATAACAGTCAGTTAAACATTTAAACAGAGATGAATGATAGCTAGCAGCGAAATCTAGGATGCGTGTTTCATCTTATTCTAGACTGGTCAGCTGGATGTATATGGATCCCAGAGCTGATATTCACTCTGGGACTCGAACCAAGTGCTGTTAGCTTCCAGAGACAGCATATTTTCCACTTAGCTATTAAGTCTAGTTAGCCAGTGGCTATTGATATCAAGTGGATTTTAATTCATATATACTGGTTGTTTACATCTCCCATTGATGTTTAGGACTGGGTAAAATGCCCATGACTTATTGGGAATATCGAGTCAAACCAAACAGGATTCACTTATGTCAAAAAGTGACTGATCTATTGCAGTTCTAATCATTGATGAGAAGATCCAAACAACCAATATATATTAGTCAGTTATATAGTCGAAATAATACTGTGAAATCATTACAATCAGTGATTTGATTAAAATAATAATCTGAGATTGAAATTCACCCAGAGATTACCAGTAATTTCACAGAGATACATTGTTCTTCTCCACTACGATATAAATGCATATTCGGTCAACTGTATGATCCAGAGCAAAAAGATTTTAATATTTTACTGACTTAATAATATGGAAATACAAGTTTACTTAATGAAACTACTTGTTGTTGATACTTAAGACTGCATTTAATGACCCTCAGTGGGTACCTCCATATTGTCTGTAGTTAAGATAAGTGTATCAAGATAAGACAAATGTAAACCTTTGAGAATACCTTCATACACAATGAACAAGATATTGGTTATGTTGAGTCAACAGGTTAATGGAAAATACGTTTGTGTTTAAAATTATGTATACTAGATTTGAGTTTCTGTGTGAATATTAGCATTGAGTCATAACTATTTCTAGTAAACGATTAGCAAACAAAAAATCGTGGATCCTAGAATCTACAGCTGTTCAACAAACAAAAATGTCCAACAAACCTTTCATAAAATCCACGATCTCGCACCCCGCGAGATTCGAACCCAGGACCCAGGAGTACCATACTAAGACGAAAAAGCTGTCCAGTGCTTCCAGGTTTTCCATGGTTGTCTAGTTACAATTGACTCATGATTTCAATCTGTGAAATTTCTAAAATCCCCACAAACCCCTTCTTTCATAAAATATCCATCAGTTGTTTTCTTTTAGTATATGATCTATCTGTAGTGAAAAACCGGCTACGTTAAAAAGGTTAGAATCCACATACATTGATCAAGATACTACTCAAAAATTAATCTTAAATTTAGCGATACACACTTGATTGATGTGAGTCTGTATTATGAGGCAAATGTCATCGATTGTAAAACTATTTCGATTAAGACTTAATTTACTTTACGCATCATGTCTTTTAGGTAAACTTTCAGGAAAATCAACTGAAAACTGTTTTTTTAATAAAAAATTAATCATTGTTTAATTCGTTGATTTTTTAGATAAATGGTTTAAATGTTTCTGTCCTCAACAAATAAACTGAAGTCTCTCTGAGTTGATATTTTCCGGAGTCATGAATCCACATTGCTGAGATTTACCAAATCGTAGTGAAATGTTTTCGCCCTATTACTATCTGATCTTTAAATGCTCTCCAAGTGATGTCTATTCGGAAGGCAAAGTATTTAGAAAAAATGAAATCCAATTAGTTGTAACATTTTGAACTTTAACTTATCCTATGATAAGGATTTACAAAATATTTCCAGGCTTCTGTTTCCTTTAGAATGTTAATAGTTGCATTCATAACTCGACATAAGCTAGACCACTATTGGAAAACCAGATACACTGGACGGCCGTTTCATCCTGGCATGGGACTGCTTATCAGTGACCTTTCACGATCCCGCCCGCAAGATTCGAACCCAGGACCTTTGGTTTTACAAGCAAACGCTTAACTTCTAGACCACTGAGCTGGCCGGCATTCAACGGTGTTAATATTTAACTTCGATTGATTCATGATAAACCGTTCATCCATTGTCTGAGGTGAGTAACTGTCTGCACCCGACACGGATTGAACTCCACTAGTCACGGCTTCTCATGAATCGATTGACAATAAACATTAACACCGTTAAGCGTTCGCTCGCGAAACCGAAGGTCCTGGGTTCTAATCATGCGCGCGGAATCGTGGACACACTGCTGAGCAGTGTTATACTAGGACGAAAGAGCCGTTTAGTTGTCCCAGATTTCCAATGGTGGTATAGATTACATCGACTCATGAATTCAACTGTTAAAATTACTATAACCTACACACTCCATTAAGGTCTTTTAGAATTATCTTAGGATTCGTTCTTTTCATTTTTATTTTAATAACAATAATAAAATATTTGTCTTTATCCATAGTTTGACTTAACTATACTACATCATTGCCTACTTTTTGTATTCAGGTGACAATGAGTTGTTAAACAATTGTAAAGAAAAAATCAATTTACTCAAACTGAATTTGATGAATTTAATTAATACTTCACCAGTTTGTAGTATTTACAAGACTGGCAAAGAAATGGTATGTCATATTCATTCATACACAAGGTTATTTATTTAATTTCAATAAATTCATTATTAAATGTGAAATACTTTATCGAATATACAATATATCGTCAATTATTTTTGTATTTGATATTGGTTTGGTCGATCAAACCATCCAGCTCAGAGAACAAAACTCAGTCAAAATCATTCACCTGAGCTACAAATCTTCTCCACTATCTCAATAGCATTAAACGCTTAATGATAATAACTAAACCTAATAAAATATAGAACAAACTAAAGTAACTATATTTAATATTTAAAACATTTAACTCTGTGCTTGTAAATGTACAAATATTGTATTATTTACTTATATGGTATGTGTTTGTGAATCATATAACAGATTTATTGAAGATTAAAGAGAAATATCGAATCTTCTATCATTTTTGAACAGTTAGGATTTAGTATTCAGTTTTTATTCTATTTGAAACTTATCAATCTGATAAATCTGTATTAAGAGTTCCACTGTTGATAGATGCTGTATATTGATAGCTTCTTAACACTTTATATACATACTGTTTAATGAATATAAATCTACTTATATTTGTATAAAATGATGATGACCTCTGTTAAAACTTCTATTTCATTTTGCTTTACAACCAATAAACTTATCGTACAATATACAATTTGAATATGATATTTTATCAGCAATAATCAACATCTTGTTTCAATGGAACAGAAGTGTAGTTTTACTGTATTCTTTTTTATGAAAGAAACAACCCTTCATTAACTTTAATTGTATTCTATATCTTATTTGTAGTGTGATCATAAGTTAAACAGTATAAGAAATACAATTCAACAAAGATTTCTTGTTGTATGGAATAAATTAAAACTTACTGAAAATGAAAAACAATCTTGTTTATTGAAATTTTGTTGGCAACATATGAGTGATACTATTTATATGGCAAATATGAATAAAGCATTAAACTTATTGGAATATACAGCGAAATATATTGAACGTCGTGAAATGTTATTACATAAATTAGCAAAAATTGAAATTGAACATTTAATTCAATCAAAAAATTATAGTGTAAGTAAGTTGGGTAAAAAAATGTTTAAAAATATTTAAACTTCTTACAGTCAATAGAAACAATTAAATTTTGTTTATTTATTAATTTTGTTTGTTTGTCACAATTGATTGATCACTGGGTGGTGATCAATGTCATGCTTGTCTAGTCCTTATTAGTGCAGATCGAATGCTGTCGATCATGTTGCAATGTGGCCACCAGTCTAGGTGACTCGACACTGCGGGCACTATGTATCTCAATACATTCGATCTGCACTAATAAGGACTAGACAAGCATGACATTGATCACCACCCAGTGATCAATCAATTGTGATTACATCTCAGTCCTACAGGAGGTTAGTCACGGCTCGGATAGCTCAGTGGTAACGTCTCTGACTGTGAAGCTGGGTGACACGAGATCAAATCCGCCAGGGAGCACCAGTTCCCTTAAGATTACAGGTACACCTTGCTGACGAGTGCCAAGTAGCACGAAACCCGGGTCCAGGGTTTCCTGTTGACTACCTCCAACCACCATCTAAATTTTTTTGTTTGTTTCATGGTTTTATATCTACAATTGGTTCTGTTAAATGAGATACAGATAGAATAAGAATCTAAAATAAGATTTTACATTAACTGATGTGTAACTTTTGGAAATTGACAATCACTAGATAGATATTTCGATTTCGATGAAATACTTCTCAGTAATATAAATCCTTAATCTTGAATTAATATTTAACAAATTACTTTATTATCACCTAAAATGTCACTTCATTTTTAACTGATTCATTTAAAATCTATTCAGTTTAAATTCGATCAGTTGAAAGTATGGTATGATTAATTTCAATAATTGACAAGGTTTAACCATACTTGACTCAGTTGATAGTGTGTTATATTATAATAAGAATCAAATTCTAAAAGTATGATTATTTGCTACCTATTTCAACTAATCTTCATAATCAACTAGTATTTCTGTGTCATTAGTTTTGCTCTTAGCGTTTCTAGAATTTCACTTTTCTTATTTCGATATCATATGAAAATGAGATATATTTGTAATAATTAACTGTTCACTGCGTTCTTCTTGAAAAGCTTAATAATAAAAATTATATTGACATATATCTGTTAAATGTTTTGGTAATTCTATTGGTTAATGTACAAACACTGCCATTTGTTCTTTTAACATCTTGTTAGTTTAATATTCGATAGAATCCCCAGAGATTAAAATGTTGCCTCTTTACAAAATTACAGTTAGATTTCTCGTAAATCTGTATCATTTGTTTTTTTCTCAAACGAATAGCTCTAACTTATGTATATTTCTTTCAACACGATATTGACAATTTAATTTCGAATCCCTTCAAACATATACAACTTCAGGTTTCCTTGTGATGTGTTGCAATTTATACGCTATAGCTTATCATTAAGGTTATGCCGTGAAGATCCTACCTAAAAGTTTTCTGTTCCCATAAACCCTTTAACGTTTTGTATATGACGGGAACCATTAAATCGTAAAAATCTGAATGTAGTCAGTCCTAATTTTTTTGGATACATTTTTTGCACTTCATCAACCAAGGTAACTAGGACATGTGTTTCAAATAAATGTCAACCACCTGACCCAACACTATGCTAGATTGAAAAAGCAATAAGGACAACCTGAAAAAGACATATTATTAGATAATAAATTTACTAACTGTTAGTCAGAATTCAAATTCAGTACAACACCAAAGAAGATCTTACTATTTATCGAACCCCTAATTGTAAAATTTTATTCTCACTCTATCCTGATATAGTGAAGATTTGTAGCTCAGGTGGATGATTTTGGTAGGATTTTGTTCTCTGTGCTGAATGGTTTTCTCGTGAAGCTTTCATCGTTCTTTTGAACGACATCACCAGTACAAACTTCAGGTAAACATGAAATGTTCGAATTTCTCCACAAAAGGTTCACAGCTTGTTCTGTAAACCTCGATGTTGTCAGCAAGGTCAACAAGAACCAATCAACATCGAGGTTTACAGAACAAGCTGTGAACCATATGTGGAGAAATTCGAACACTTCACTTCTACCTGAAGTTTGTGCTGGTGATGTCGTTCAAAAGAACGATGGAAGCTCCACGACCAAACCATCCAGCTCAGAGAGCAAAACTCTACCAAAATCACCCTATCATAATCGTTCTCCAAGTCCACTTAACCGTTTTAAATTAAAGGTCTTATTATTAGCTTTATTATTGATCACTAATACGTACTCATGATTCACTATGAAACTAAACCTAATAACATAACGTTATATGGCAGGCATAATAATAACCATATTCATAGTATTGTAGTAAACATGACACGAGTGAGGACGACCGAATGTATTTGTCTCGATATTACATAGAATCTCAATAAAATCTGAGAACCATATAGTAAATAGTTAATTTGCAAAATATCAATCCATCGTCTCAAACTTCACTGTTACTTTTGCAAATATCAGTCCATTGTCTCAGATTTTATTGTTCATGCATTTTCATACCAATTGCGTTCCGTTTCCATTCTTCCCTTATCGATCTTCTACCGAAATATATTCTATACCTGACCACCATCATATACTACTTATATGGATACAAGTAACCCACACCACAGTATCATCACTTAGCGATCTGATCATAACAAAATGAAATATAGAAAAAAAAACAGCTCAATGAAATCAAATTAGATAGTTCTGTAATGTTCCAATCTATTTAATTGCATGTAATTATAAGTAAATAAATAAATTCTTTTGCAATAATAAACTATTCATTACCATCATATTGTCTAGTTGTGATATCATAGAATGTTTGTAGTTCTACTGAATTTTTACCCTTTAGAATTAATTCAACAAATTATATGAATGAACTAAGTTATTAATTGAATATTTCACTACTATATTAGATAATAATCATTTGGAATTGAAATGTTCAGATGAACGTTATAAAGTTGATAAGGTAAATATTATTATTGATTTTTCTTTATTTGAGTTATATATTTATATTAATCACTTATTGTTTAGTAACCCGATAACTGATTGCAATTACATCGTATGAATGTCATTGAAATATATATGTTATCTATCCTTGTATAAAATTATCAACTTAGATCACGTTAGTGAATAATGGAATTAAACAAGCCGAATACGAGAATTGATTTTGAATATGTGTATTTCATGCACTCATCGATTTGATCAGGCAATCAGGGAACGAAGCGAAAGGACGTGCAGTGGAGAAGGCAAATGAACCAGCTTTCATTTAATCGAACAGTAATTTATATTTATATTCAGACAAAAATTAAGCTACAGACATGTGATGAGTAATGATAAGATGTTCACAGGCGTACGCTCATATAAAACAGTCAGGGTTGATTTGGTGAATAATTAACAAGGTCAAAACGAGACTCAAGAATGAATACATCGGCCTGTCCAGAAGGTAAAATAAGTTATATGGGCTTAACATAGTAACTGACACTACAATTGAATGAATGATTATTACACATTTTGATAGTATAATTGTGTTAAAGTACTTTTCAATGAAATCTTTGTTCTATTCAAAGATAAATTACTTGATAATTTATGATTATTGGCTTATTTCGAATGAAAACGATAGACTGACAGTCTGTTCTATCATTAGTTAGGCTTCAATAATATTGAGGATTTACATTTTTAAATTGAAATATTTTCTCAGACAATATAAATTTTAGTGGAGTTTTGTTCTCTGAGCTGGATGGTTTGGTTGTGGAGCTTTCATCGTTCTTCTGAACGATATCAGGTAGAAGTGAAGTATTTGAATTTCTCTACATATGGCTCATAGCTTGTCCTGTAGACCTCGATCTCGATTGGTTAATGTTGACCTTTAACCTGTTTACGGGAAATTCTTTGGAAGTGTATTATAAAACGTTTTTGGTGAAGGGTTCAAAATGTGTTAACTGTCCAAACGACTTATTGGAAATCTACTGTAGTACAACATGTTCAGCTGATAACTGCTCTTGAAATTACATCATTGCAGCAAACCATAAAATGTTAAGCTAGACTACCAGAAAATGCTAGTCAAAAGAATTTAAGAATGATTTCTGTTAGATGAGAAAGAATTTTGTAGACAATTAATGAATAATTATAAAATAGGTGTGTAGAGATTGTTGAATTACATTGAAATCCTAAATTAATCTGAGTAAGAACACCATTGCAAACCTGGTTGTTTAACTTGGATTGACTCAGGGTTGCAATGAAAATCACTAGTAAATTAGGCCAAAAATAAATGAGTTCATTAAGAAAATGATTGTGTGTTGATACACTGGTAACATCACTAAATAAACTATAGTTGAACTTGAAGTCGCTAAGTCATTCATGACTCATTTTATTTCACTTGCGTCTATTGAACTGTCGTTTATTTAAGGTTTATGAAGTGTAATACAGGACATAATTGTACTTCTAGTATTGTTATAATGTAAAATATTCTAACGAACATTTTTAATAAATTAAATCACTAAAATCTTTATATAAATCTATATTTAATAGAAATTTAACAAGTTGGAGAAACTGATTGTGTCTACTGCTAAACAACTGGAGAAGAAGTTTAATTATACTCTGACATTCAACGTATGTTATTAACTCATAAGATAAATTGTATTATTGAAATTTCTAGAATTTCATGTTGGAGTAAATCAAAGACGTCTAGATGTGTTTGTTCCACAGAGGTATAAATTTACAATAATAATTGATCTTCATTTTAAACAAAAACATTTGAAATTACTATAATATCCACAATACCCCTTCTGATATTATTCAACATATTCTCACTAGTGACTGGCTTCAAGAGGTATATCCTGGAGTTCTAGAGAGAAGTAGTGACCAGTGGAGTTCAACCAGGTCTGTTGTGAAATAGTAACTCACTGATGACAATGGTGGATAGGTCGCTCAATTTCGTGGATTAGTTGAAGTTAGACATTAACGCCGTTGGATGCCGGCCGGCTCGGTGGTCTAGAGGTTAAGCGTTCGCGCGCGAGACTGATAGGTCCTGGGTTCAAATCTTACGGAGGGGCAGGATCGTGGATCCGCACTGCTGGGGAGTCCCACAATAGGACGAAACGACCGTCTAGTGCTTTCAGGTTTTACATGGTGGTCTAGCTTCAACTGACGCATGATCTCAACCATTGAAAAAAAAGAAATGGAACCTAACAAAACGATAGTTTAAGAAAACAAACATTGAATTACATTAGCACCAGCTATTAGATGCATACTCTTAAAACGTAATAATTTATTGATGTTCTTAGTTTACATATTATGTAAAAACATTTTGTTAACCTAAAATATGGTTAATATAATGAGCTTTGTAAAACATATTTCAAGTAATTTATCTTAAAAAGGTATATCGATGAAAATGAATCGTTTGAAAAAATTACAAACATTTTGAAACAACTTCACTTAGTATTGTTTGGCTTGTATCTTCCCATTGATGTTTAAGACTGCAATTAATCAGTCTGTTATTGGCATATGTGCATACTGTGAGTATGCCTCGATATTGCCTTAATTCACAAGCTTTTTGAAAACAATGACGGATAGTGGCTAGCAGTGGGATCTAGGACGCGCTTTTCTTCCTATTTGGGACTCGTCAGCTGGATGTACCTGCATGTCACAGTTGATGTTTACTCTGGGATTCGAACCCAGTACCATTCGCTTCAAACGCCATCGCGTTATGTACTCAGCTACTGAGTCCTGATAGCCACTTGCTTGTGCAATGGGGTGAATTTAAATTCACTTGGTATTGTTTTGAAACAACGCCTAAATTATACATAATAGCATTTAGTGTTATTTGAAATATTTATTCCATGTTGCAACTACACTAAAATCATGATACGGTGTATTGTATTTGGTAATACGATGCGCAGGAAAAAATGTAGCTTACAGATTTGCTTACCTTTGAAGTATACGTGATTATCAATATTTTCTGTTAGAGTTAATAAATTTTAATTGAAATCTGAAAGCTGATGTTTATATATATATATATATATATATATATATATATATATATATATATATATATATATATATATATATGATTTAACTGTTTCAAACACCTTCATGCTGATTACCTTCAACGTCTAATGATGAAATTCGATCTTTCATCAGATCAGACGGTGAAATCTCCCGTTTCCCATGGACATCTGCCTAGAATAAATTGACTTCAAAACTTCATTAATTTGTTTTTTATGTGAAAAACTCCAGAATTCCTACTCTAATGCAATAGAATGACTGTTTTTTTGTGTTGTTTTGAATCCTTAGTCACTAGATCTAATAAAAAATGATTCTATAGGAAGCGTCTCACTCTCATTCACCTTTAATACTAATACCTAAATGATTTATATGTGTTTACAAATGATCTTGGTGGCAATAATTTACTATGTTAAGAAACGTTCGCATGAGCTAAAGATAATCCGGACAAAGAACTGATAATAATGCACAACAGTGAAGAATTTCCGGACAAAATTCTCGAAGTCCTAGGAAGAAACATTCGGATGTGAAATCATCTAAATTAATAGAGTTTAAATATCAGATGAAGATTGTCTTATCACACGTTTTTCAGAGGAAAAATGTATATTGCTGAATCCGTACTCTGTAGTTTAAGGAAACTGTGTCTCCCACGAGACCCGAAACCGCTGGTTTTGATTACGTGTAAATTATTGACATACATAAAAACAGATCGGTTAGCTAGAAGACAGAATTTTGCGGGTGATTTTCGAAGGTCCTGAAGCTTATATCATTTGTGAAGAAAGGTACTCTAGCTTACTAATTTAGACAATAGTAAAATATGATGCTACTTCCATAGAGGTTATATCATTATCTATAGAAGATTCCTAATGTTACAGCATTTGAGATAAATATTTTCACTTTGCTTTTCAGGGTCAAATTTATCTTAAAAAGATGGTCCATGATCGAAGTGATCTGATTTATTTACTGAGAGAAAAGTACAAAAGTAAACCAGGACATGATAGCGCAATATAGAAGCTCCATCCCCAAAAGTACACCTATAACATTATTAACGGTGTTTGTTTTATTTCCCTCAATTTATATGGAATTCGGTGAACAGTATTTATTATGTTTTGCATATCTCTATGAATGTGAAACGGTTCATATGATCCAGTATAGGTAGCATAATGAGGATATTGAGTAATTCCAAACTAAAAGCGATGCATTGTTGTTTTATCAGGTTTTAATAACAAATACATTGCGATTTCTCAATACAGGGTTAGTTAAATATCACTTTTAAAACCGTTGGTAGGTAAGGCAGAAATCTATTTCAAGCAATTAGTCCCTTTTATTAGTTTTGGTACATTAATGAGAGGACGGAGTTGATCTGACAAGTGCTATGTACATGCGTTATACATTCATGTCATGTGTATTTTTATGGGAAAGCCAATGAAGGTCAATCAAACAGAAACGATATTTGTAAATAAAGGAGAAAAAATCAATATAATATGTAGAGAATGTAAACTTATCACACTGCTATTCTAGAAAGAAACATTGAGTTAAGTTTACCAGGGAAGACTCAAGTTTACGAAAAATCGTTTTTGTACACAAAAAAGGTCTGAATTTTCGAATATCCAATGCTATTAGACGATCATAACCATGCTAGTAATTCTGAAAAGAGAGATCTGGATTCACAGTAATCTAACAAGATAAGACTGATCCTAATGAGTCAAGAACTTCTACAAGATACAATCAGGAACTCAAATCGGAAGTACACAGTATGAGATTGTATTGTTTAAGCACAATATATAATATTTAAATGTATACTAAGTTTATAGTTTATTTGCTAAAAGAGATAATCTAGAGAGGTATTTGTGACCCTACCGCTAGTCAGAGAAACCTGTGTCAGAGTCTTACTTCATGCTACAAGTATACCCTTTAAAGAAAAATCTGAGAAGTGCACTCCTATTGACTTGATATGGTAAGTGAAAGTGAAGCTCAAGCATCTCCTAGCCAACTGGTCACAAAGAAAAGGTTTAGCAACAAATTGATAGTTTCAGGGCTCCCACAACCCTCTATGCACCATCTACACCTCACACGGGATGCCCTATTTATACATAATTAAATATCTAGGCAGTTTTTCTACAAAAACAATAACATATGGACGTAGATATACATCTAAAAAAGACAAACTACATCGATACCTGATTATTTTTTACGAGGAAAGTTATTATATATATCCAACCATGATGATACTGATCATTGTACAATGAAGAGATAGTTTAGTACGGAGCATAGGAAATCTAGAATATCATATGCTAGCACCTTTGAGAATGAAGCAAGTTCACTCATCAAGCTTGGTGTTTTTGAAGGACCACGTTAAATATTTTTAAAAACCCATTTTGCAAAATACTGTTCAGATGTTGATAAAGCAATAGAATTCGTTCTTAAAAGTAACTTGCGTAAAGTCTCTTTAAATGCTAACCATCTAACTAGGGATTTCCAGTCGCTAAAGAGATGAGAGACCAAATAGTTTGGTTGGTGATATCACACTATATCATAAGAAATGTGAGGAACGAACGGACACCATAGATGCCATCAAAATTAATACTCATTAGTGCATGGAAATTGATACAGCTTAAAAACGCAAAAACTATACACGAGAAGGTGTTACGCTAGCCATGATTCCTGTACTACTAAAAGGTGTCGAGATCATTCATACTTGGGCTTTTTGAATTGTGGGGCAGTTACTTCTTTTATTGCAGGTGATATAGTCAGTGAGCTAAGTCTACATGTAAAATCTAAAATATTATCTTTGACGACACTGAATAGTAAATCGTCATTGGCATGCAAGAAGTCGGTATAGAGCTTCATTCATAAGATTTTTCGTCGTATGTTAAGATCCAGAAGTTGTTGACGGTCAAAAGATTATCGATAATGTGGGAGAATCTGTTAACGGCGTATCAGAGAGCGTTTTGGTCTTACTTGAAGGATGTGAACTTTCCAAAAGAAGATGGTGAGGATATCAAGCTGTATTATTATTATTATTATTATTATTATTATTATTATTCACAAACATCTTATGGGCACATAAATGTTGTGAAGAAACCCGAAGTGGTTTCTCCAAAAACGCATTTATGCACAAGTTTCAATAATTTTAGCATTATATTTGCCATATTTGAAAAAAAGAAATAATAATGATAATAGAATAATAATAAATCAGGTTCTGTGTGATTGAGAAGAATATTGAATTGAGTTTAAAGAAGGAAAGGAAGAAAATAATGGAATAGAAATAAAGGAGAAATACGCGAATAGTTTAATAGGCGTGTTTATGAACACAGAACAAGTATAAACGACTATGTATATATCACCAAATTAGTAACAAAAATAAAATAGAAAATAACTATGAAAAAATAACTTATTATTGCAGTAAGATATGACGCTAGAATAAATGTTTGTGCAGTCATAGTTTGGAGTGATGCTATGAAAGTCTCAATTAAATGAAAAGGATAATGAAATGTCAATATGTATGAATCATACATGCTTAGTGAAGATAAAACGAGTCTGCAAGGTTAATTTCAGTGTAACACAGGTACGAATAATACTTATTTAGAAGGAAGAAAGAAACGAACTGAACACCTAGTGAAAGGGTTCAACCATGGTAATAATAGCGTAATGAACATCGATCTCTGAAGTAAAATAACTTTTTAGTGAACTCGGATAAATACATGTAGATTTATGTAAAACCGGATATTAGTATAAACATTTGTGCAATAACAATTTAGAATGATGCTGTGAAAGTCCCGACGAATTGCAAGGGATGATCAAATATAAATTTCTACGTGTTAATCTGAGAAGTTAATTTGTTTAGGTGTAACATAAGATTTTTTCTGTTTCTAGTTATAGACTTTGGATGTTTAGTAATGAAATATGTTTAGAACGGCAAGAAGAGATTAAAAGAATATCTGTGTTGAAGAACCAATAATGATAATAGTAACAGTAATGCTTATAAATACGAACATAAGCAGACTTCATATATTAAGATGAATCAAAATAAAATAAAATAGACGCTGAAAGTTTCCAAGTTCACACTTTGCTTTACAGTCAGTTAGATGGATGACGGACCTTGTTTGTATAAATCATTATTAAATACATTGATATTCAATAGGTGACACAATCCATTTTCGGAAAGAAAATCATCAACGCAACTTCTGAACCAAGTTGTAGTGTCACTAAAACGGAGGCTCACTGGCAGTCTGTTCCACATGGTTGAGTAGCAAATAACGAAAGAAATGCTGGCGTAAGTTTTTGTAGGTTCTTGGAATTGCTAGAATATTTTTCTTATTGCATAGATTGTCAGATGATATCATAGAGTATGAAGGGATGGATACCGAAGAGTAGGAAATACCGTTAACGAACCGATAGATAAAGACAAGGTTTAATTTAGTACTCTTGATCCGGAGAGATTCTAATTTGAATTGTTGACATCCTTGGTGATAGTTCTTGTTGTCGGAACACTCTAAAACAGCTTCAGAGAACCTTCTTTGAACACCTTCAATTTAATCAGTTCATCATGTTTGCAATTACTGTAAACTAAAATATCATACTCAAGAATGGGTAAGATACATTTTCTGTATAATAATAATCTGACTCAATATTATTGAGCTTTCTAGCTTCGGATACATGAGATGCAATGTGCTCCGAAAAGTTCAAACTGTTGCTATACCTTAAACCCGAGTCACGATCAGTGTCGAGAGGTTTCAGTGTATGTTCGTGTATAGCCGTATTTAGGTTAAGGTAACGGCCAATGCGACTAAATCCACTTTTGTCACCATTAAGTGACAAATTCCACCAAACAGTCCATTCGTACAACTTGTCAATTTCTTCTTGAATTACGGCTGAAATATAGCTTCCTTTCGTGGGAGGAGAGAATGAATCAACCACTTTTAGGTCGTAGGCAAAAAGGAGAGGTTTAACATACTGAAAGAGGGGACACATTTCATTGGTAAAAAGTAAAAAGAGTAATGAACCAATCACACTTCCTTGTATAACCCTACTAGTTACATTCACAGGTTTAGAGTAGCAAGATCCAAAGCGAACGATTTGGCTACGTTCTAAAAAAGATTTGAGCCAAGATAAAAGGGGATTCTGTATGCCAAATGAAGAGAGTTTTAAAAGAAGAAGTTTGTGTGAGACACTGTCGAAAGCCTTACTAAAATCGAAGTAAAGAATTACCACTGACTGACCAACATCTCTTCTCTGGGTAATTTGATCAAAAAGCCCCATGTGCGATGTGTAGCGCAAGATACACATGAGACGAAAGAGACGAGAACTGGAAAGGCAAGTAAGACTTATGTTGTGAGAACTTTGATGAGATGAACGCTGTTTGAGCTCTATAGCGGACCTCGTGTGAGCAACTTTTTACTTGGTCCTGCCACATTGTACTTAAATGATGCTTGTCGTCAGAAACTAGACTGGGATGCAGAGTTATCCGTGGATCATTTACACACAGAGAGACGTTTAACATAAAAATTTGAACCATTATTTGCTCAGATTCATTGTTTACCTGGTGCTTCCTAGCTTGCTTATGGTATTGTAACATATACTCAATGCGAAAGTGTTTCTTTCTAAATTTGCTGCGTAATTTAGCTGGCCAAGTCTAGAATCGTTCCCCTGAAACTTGTAGCTCTACCTATTATTGAACCGACGGTCTGCATGCTATGTGTTCAGACTGAAAAGCATGTGGAAGAACTGTTAAATATCTGCATTCTTTCGGTTATTTACTAGATGGATTCGTTAATCTCGAATTCTCGAATGAAATATACAACTGAAAAGTTTGAACGGTTTGTGAGTAATAGCTTAGCGACCACACATGTGTTGTCCACACCAAAACCAGCAGAGATACGTGAAGAGTAAACTGGACCTGGCAGATTAAATATCTCGTAGACTACTAATAAATGATAGGACTAACATAAGGGGCATTACAATGGCCGAGATTCCCGTAGGAAGAGGATGATAAATGGCACAGCCCTGAAAGAAATGAGAACACAGTGACCCGCGTATCAACAGAAGAGTTCGAACAACAAATTTCTAGGTCTATTTCATGCACGTGACTCGTAGTTCAGATCATTGAAAGTGTTTTATAGTGAATATGGCCTGTAGATAATACGTTAGATGACCGGAATGGGAAAAGCTCAAGCCTAGGTATACCGAGTATTGAGGATATCTATAAATCAAGGAAAAACGTGATAACTCTAGTTCACACTGCCTCACTCCCTG